CGTCGGCGGTTCCATCCAATAAGCAGGTGACAGCTCCATCGGCATAGGCGTACCTGTCGTGCTCATCACACTCATCATTGCACAGGGCGCACAGTTTTTGACGAACCTCGTTTTGAGCGGTTTTCGTCCACTGACCGGGCGCACACGACGGACCAATAAACTTGGACAGCGTCTCTATCACTGAACTGCAATTTCGAAGGTTCGATGGAACAATGCCCAGTGGTATGAGTACGCCGACCAAGGCATGGTACTGAAGGTTCTGGTCGTCGATCTGAGACAGACAAACCGTTTTGCCGCTGAAATGCGACAGTCTGCCTGACGGAAACGAAGACCTGCGAATCACCACAACCGTCTCTTCCGAATAAGAGAAACCTGAGTCGCTGCCGTTCACCGTCTCCGTCAGCGCCACTACTAAATTGTAGTATTTTCCAGCGACGTAAACGTAGTTCGGATCAAGCGCCATCACATCGGCCTCGTCATTAGAGATCTTCTCCAAGCAGTCGAGAATGTGGCGACCATTGATGCAGACAAAACTGAAGGAAGGGACCGTTGCAATAGTCCTCAGGTCCTCCTCCAACAACCAACACAACTCCTGAGCGTCCTGTCCTGCACTGCACCATCGAACTGCCGAAGAGGTTCGGTCGTACGATTCGGCAGCCATCAGCAACATCGTTATGAGGATGGTGACAGACGCCTTCATTGCACTTGGAGTGGAAATCAACCAATTACAGTTGTATCAGAGAGATACGCCATGCGACTGCGGCACCATCAGCTGAAAACCGGCCGTCTTCTGTGAGGAAACTCCTCGTTGAAAAGATCCGTGCGCAAACACCACTTACTCAATGGCCTATTGACTTTAGATCAACCAACCTTTTTCTACCTGGCCAACTACTTGGTCAACATGCGCCGGCCAACCATGAGCTCCCGTCTGACCTTATTATCGTGTCGTTGCCAGAACTGACACTTTTCACTATACTCAATGTTTGTTTCTTCCGGTGACATACAAAACTATTTTTGTTTCAGCCGCTGAACGGAAACTGTTTATACTCGTTGTTCTCTTTTAGTCTAGATTTTAAACGGTTCTCATGACGTTTAAATTTTCGTCTGCCTCATAGCCCACACATAACTGTCG